CCTGGCCTGGCTTGCCTTCCTGCCTGCCTCCCTCAAAGCCTGGGATTCGGAGGCGCCGCACCCCGCCGGGGATCTTTCGCCCAGGTAAGAGCGAGCCGGGGCGGGGGAGGGGGGCAGCTGGGGCGGCCGCAGCAAAAGAGAACCAGCCGCCCACCGCCGCCTGGCAGCGTCCCGCGTCCCTCGGCTGGGCTGCCGCGGGAGGCAACCTGGCTTGCCTTCCTGCCTGCCTCCCTCAAAGCCTGGGATTCGGAGGCGCCGCACCCCGCCGGGGATCTTTCGCCCAGGTAAGAGCGAGCCGGGGCGGGGGAGGGGGGCAGCTGGGGCGGCCGCAGCAAAAGAGAACCAGCCGCCCACCGCCGCCTGGCAGCGTCCCGCGTCCCTCGGCTGGGCTGCCGCGGGAGGCAAGGAAGCCTTGGTGGAGGCGCAGAGTGAGCGGGGAGGGAAAGAGCGGGTGGGCATCGGCAGAGCCCGGGCGTCTGAGGCGGCCGATGGCGAGGCTGGAGCGTGGAGACAGCCGGGCACGCTGTGTGGTGTGTGTGTGTAACGGGGGAGGGGGAAGGGGGCGCGCGGGCTTTGGCCGCAGGCACCTCCGTGGGGGAGAAGGGAGCAGGCCGGGAGAGGGCAGCCCCAGGGGTTCCGGACAGCGGTGTGGGCAAGGCGGCGGCCGGAACAGGCAGGTCGGGGCGGGCAAGGGACGGGGATTCTCTCAGCGGGCGGCTGCTTTCTTCTCACGGCTGTGCCCGTCTTCCCGCAGGATCCTTCCCGCTCGGGTCCTTTCCCGGCCTCCGCTCCCCTCCTCTTGGGGGGGGGGTTCCCGCTCTTCTTCGACGCCCTCTTCTCCTGGCGGCTCTGGTCCCTGGTGAGTCCAAAAGTTTCTTCCTCGCGCGCGCGGGGCGGGGAGGTGGGTGCGGGCGCGCGCCCTTGCGCCCTTGCGCGCGCGTCTGGAGGGGTGGACCGACGCCCGGCTCGTGCCCTCTGGCCTTCCCAGGGCCAGCAGGCGGGCCGCTTTTCCCCCCTGAGGGGGACGGGGTGTGTGTAGCCCTCCCCAAAGTTTGCTTAGGTGGCTGAAGCGCGGAGGAGGGACGGGAACAATGCCTGCCGAGCACCCGCCTCTGCGCCCGACAGAAGAGAGTTTTGCATCCTCCCTGCTTTCGCCGACACTGGATGGAGCGGGGAAACGGTTATCTCTAGGAAGTGGAGAAGTCCTCACCTTCCCCGCCGGTTTTCTTCTCGCCCGAAGAGCCTCTCTTTGCGGGGAAAAGGGCGGCTGGAGGGCAGGCAGGGCGCATCCTTTGCGGAAGGTCCCTGGCTCAGTTGCCTTTATCTCTAGTTAAAGCAGTCCAGAACCATGGAGAAGGGCTGCCAATCAGAGCAGAAGATGCTGGGCTAGTTGGACCAATGGTCTAACTTGATGTAAAACAGCTTCATAACATCAGTTTGTTCTCTGGGCTTTCTAGTAGCTGCTAGAAACGGTTTTATTATTGAAGGCAATTGCTAAGATTCCATATGTGGCCACTTTTCCCTAGGAAGGGTTGAAGACATATTTGCTGCCTGAGGCAAAATACAAGGCAGCCCCAACTGCTTTCCCTCTTAACACCTATAGAAGCCAATTGGAATTGAAGTCAAATCTAACTTCAACAGGGTTGCCAGACAGCATCCAGTATCTCAGCCTGAGGGTAGCAGGCTAGCTTTGGACAGGTCGTACGGATTGTCAAGAATGTACTGCTCTGATGGTCAACAAATGGATTCAGCTGGGGGCTACGGATTCCTGGGGAGTCTGCCCCGGGTGTCTGATATGGTTGGCTTTGCTGAGTATCAGACACTCTGGGAAGGGAACAGAATCTGCGATGCAGCAGTGGGAAAGCTACACAGTAGCCTGAGATGATGGTTTGTGTCCCATTAATCCTTCCTTTTTCTTGGAAGTGTGTGAGTGTAGGGGCTATTGCTTTCAGGAGTCAATAGACACCCCCTGAAGTGAATGTGGGGGCTGAAGAATAATTGGCATAATCACCAATTTTTGCTCTATTGGAAAAAATAGTTTTAAAAAAGCTTATGAATGATTTTGCTTTGCTTTGTAAAGTACTTCAGTTGTTGTTCCTCTTAGACTAGATTGCAACAGTAAAAAACTGAAGTACCATGTATTCATAAAAGAAAAAAAAGCCTTTGAAATTGCAAGAAATGTGTCTGGCAGGCAACTCCACAAATTATAGATTTTATTGGAGCTTAGCTTTTTATGGAAAAGAAGAGGGTGGTGGCGACTGAGAAACACTCTCTTGGATGTACTCTTAGCTTGCTGGTAGAGCACATGCTTTGCATGTTGAGGGCATCTCTGAATCACTAGCATCTCTGATTAAAAGACTGTCAGGTAGCTGGGTTGGGAAGAAAGAACCATCTGCAAATGGAGAACTGCTACTTTTCAAAGTAGACAGTTCTGGGTTAGGTGGATCAATGATCTAATCCAGCATGGCAGTATTTTCTATTGTCACGCCTCTTATGTAGTATATTGTACATGGTATACTCTTTTGCACATGTGTGCAATGTTAATGTGTAGTATTTTGTCAATTGGCATAGTGAACCCAGGACATATCTTCATGGTTTTGTAACTTTAAAATAAATTACAAAATTGGATCTGCCAGCTTGATGCTCCAGAAAATTAATTTGAAGCAGTGAAGCTGATTTAGGCCACGATCCAGGGGATGCATTGTAAACAGTCTATCTCAGTAAATATGATTAGGACCAGACTGCAAATCACATAGATTCTGGTGAGTTTACTGTCCTGACCTTAAAATATCTGTTAGTAAATAAATGTTTAATACTGTGATGAATGGCCATTGCAAACAGAGAAGAACATATGGAGAGTCCTCTGGTTTATGCCAAAGGCCTCTCTCATCCACCATCCTGTTTCCAACAGGGACCAATCAGATGCCTTTGGGGAACTCTCAAGCAGGACATGAGGCCAGCGTCACCCTCCCTCTCGTGTTGCTTAGCAACTTGTCTTCAGAGGCATAATGCTTCTGATACTGGAGGTAACATAACTGTCATGGCTCCTGGCCATAGATAGCTCTAATCTCCTTTCATTTGTCCAATCCACTCTTAAAGACATCTTGGTTGGGAGGCATCACTACTTCTTCTTGTAGTGAGTTGCATAGCTTAGCTTTGCACTGTGTGAAGAAAATCTGTCACCATACAGCTTCATTGAAGGACTTATAGTATTCTAAGAGAAAGGAAAAGCTCGCTATTCATTTTCTCTGTGCCATGCACAGTTTTATTAATCTTTGTCAAGTCTTTCCAACCCCAGTTCATTTTTCTTCTAAACTAAATCTCAAATATTGTAACCTTTCTTCAGAGGGGAAATCACCTCACCTGCTGTTGATTGAAGTTGCCTTCTGCTTCACCTCCTCCAGCACTACTGAAAAATATTGTAGTGATACTAAAGATTGCTGTGCTGTGTAGTTTAAATGTAGACACAATCCTGTGGTTTGAGTTCTGAGAAACTGTTCAGTCACAGTGACTGCTTCATTTCTCTGTACTTGGTGATATTTACCTTTCAGTAAGTGAGAGTGTTTTGTTGTTGTTGTTGTTACTCTTGTTTAGCTTAAGTTGACAGAAATAATCTCACATTTGGTGTTGAAAATTCCCAGGAAGATTGTCCTGAAGGACATGACATGTTCAGGATTTTGTAGCTGCCATGACAACAGAAACGCTGCCAACTTTGAAATATTTATGAATATTCTCTTAACATTTAACTCAAGAGAAATATCAAGTTGTTTAATATTTCTCTTCTAACAGTATTCTACTATTTGGGCTCATCCTTTCCCACTGGTCTTTTGTAAAATTTTAGAAATGATTATTGCCACAACACTTGAGGCAACTGAGAATGAGTTGATCTGGTGTGAGTGTTTTGCAAACATACATTATGATAAAACAACAACAACAACAACAGAACAATGGAAGATACACACCCACATCTAGGGTTGAGATACTCATATCTGGTGCTCAGCCTCAGTAGGTTGGACCTCATTGTGTTAACGAGCAAAATTATCTGCAAGGATTACTTTGATACATTCATATGAAGGTTGCAGGGGTGATGGCAGAGTTAGTGCCACAATTTAGCAGTAATAATTCCGTTCAAACCACAATTAAAGTATTACATTTATACCATAGACTCAAATATTTCAGCTTAGGAATAGTGCTTTCCTCTCAGTTCTTGCAAGTGTGAAAAAAAGAAGCACATCGTATGATAGTATGGATCAGTGCATGGAACTTTAGAACTTTTGCTTTAAAAAAAAACCCAGAATATCCATATGGAAGAAATATAAATTATTGATTGACTATCTGCTGAAGTAAAATATATCTATTTTGGAATTTTATATTCAGTGTGTGATTCTAGCTTTTTAAAAATCAGGTGCCAGTTTATATTTGCCATGACTTGAATGTGTTGTGTAACACTCTCTCTCTCCAGTATCCCACTGTGGCACCCTGTCTGTTATTTCCTGCTCCAGGCTCTTCATTTCTCTGCCTCCCATTTTCTCTCTGCTTCCTTTCCCTTTTCTTCTAGCAGAACTGCTTTATATAACAGTCCAGGCTTCCCGTGTTTTCTGCAGTAAACCTGTAGAACCTGGCACTTATGTGGTGTGTGTTTGGAGGTGCTGCTGTCTTTTGCACTTCAAGGACTGATTGCATTTGCTTCTCCTTGGGTGTATTTGTTTTGCTGTAAATAATCCACCTTCAATTTCTTTCTTTCTCGGACATAGACTGTAGCAGAACATAAGTGCAAGAACAATCTGAGTTGCCCATCTTTTCAACTATATGAAACTGCCAATGTGAATCTGTCAAGCCCCTTATGATTGGCACAAGCAGGGGCTTTTCATACTTCTGCTGTCTGGCTGAGATAATCTGTGGGTAACTGAGGCATTCATCTTGGATCTTGTGTGTGTTAAGCATGTGCTCTACCAGTGAGTTCCAGGGCCACCGTAACAGCTGTTGACCTAACAAATGCTTGCTCACTCTTAAGTATAAGGGTAGGAATGCAGAACTGGTGGCCTTCCAGATGTTGCTTGACTACAACCCCCATCGCCTTTGATGACTGGTCTTGCTAGATGGATGGGTTTGGTGATCGTTGACAGACTCAGGGTCCCCAACTCTGTTTTAGAGTTTGATTTAGCTCCTGCTGAAATGAGTGCTAAAACGCTAGCAGTGGTAGACTTTGATCCTGAATGGTGCAGTCATTTTATATACATCATCTCTTTTCATTTTCTTATGCCCATGTTTGAGACTGTAGCAAAATGCATCTTGGCACTAGGCTGTAGTTTCACTTCAGCTGCACTTAATGTGCACTGCAACTGATCAGGAAAAAACAAAGGCAGACATTTCATGCTATGTCTTGTCAATCAAGCGCTACAGCTGCATTTCCTGATTGCCAATTTGCAGCTGTTAAATGGTTCTCTGGGTTTAACATTCTGGTGACACTGTTGAACTATGTTGGTAGATGAAACAGTGTGTTTAAGGCTGTGGGGTTTTTTCCCCCTTAACAGCTAGTGTGGACATCAATACAAAAAACTAAACAAACACCCACTTGCATGTTTATTCATTTATTTATTGAAACTTTTTAGCTTTCCTCTTTAAAAGACTTTAAAGCAGTTTTCAATTTACTATTTGGCTAATATTTAAAAGATACAGTTTGGTTTTCTGGTAACTGTTCATTCTACAGTAGCTGCAGCTTCAGGGTGGAGAGTATGTTTACCCCTCAGTTTCCTAACTTTTCCATGTTCCTGCCCTTGTTTGAACCTGCCAAGCTGACTTCATTTATATTTGACCATAAAGAGTGCAGGCGGCATAAAAGTCAAATAAATAAATAAA